GTGTTTCTAGAGTTCGATGGAGTTTCGCCGGAGTTTCGCCGGAGTTCAACCGAGGAGCGTAGAACACGCTAAAGCTCATTTAAGGTGAGTGGACGACTTAATGTTTCATAACTTTTGGGTTAATTATGTGATTACCTAATTAAATGTTATATATATTCAAAATGATGTTTAAGGGATATTTAAACATGTGATGTGCCAAAATGATTAAACTTGAATGAAATGAATTACTTGAATATACATGAAGTATGGTATGGGTAATTTTTGTGAAAATGTATGCTTGACTTGAAAGTGAAAGAAGCATGACAATTGATATTATTAACTTGATACACATGGCGATTAAGTTGGTATGGGCAAGATTTGTGGTGGCGGTCAACGGAACGTTGATCGGTTGACTAGGGAACAACCGTCACCGGTTGATATTATTTACTTGTGAATTGACATGAATGCATGGCTTTGCATGGACTGATATATGCATAGGCTTTATGGGTTGATTTAGCCTTGTATAAATGATTATGACATAGGCCTTATCTAGTTTGGAACAAGGTAGATCATAAGGACATATTTGGTGGAGAACCGAAGGACTAAAGAGTCCTCAAAACTCATATATACATCGATGGAGGACCCAAGGGCTAAAGAGCCCTCAAAACTCGGGAATACATGAGAAGGTGGTGCAGTTATAAATGGTGGAGAACCAAAGGACTAAAGAGTCCTCAAAACTCGAAATATATGAATATTTCGGTGGAGAACCCAAGGACTAAAGAGTTCTCAAAACTCATATGTATATTGGCGGAGTACCCAAGAATTTTGTTGTCCTTAAAACTCATATATTTTGATTAAAATTGTGGACAAGGAAGAGTCCTATACACTCATAGGTATATGGGTGAGTTGGGGTTTTAAGTCAAGGACTTGACTACTATTTTTCCCAAATAAATGATAGCCTACGTGTTGGTCCAAAATAGGACGCTCGTAGGCTTTTAGGAAAGCTACGTACGACACTCAAGCAAGAATTAGGAAAGTACGAATATGGAAAGTTAGCCAGAAATAGCATATCTGTATTTGAAATTCGAATTGCCCTTTATAGGCGATTACAAATGGTAACTGCCGAACATAATAATGACTAAATTAATTACAACATTAATACAGAATTAAACACATAATTAAGTCGCGCATTGATTGTTGGCTGTTACTCTTCCTGGCTGGCAGGTCAGCCTGGCTGGCAGGCTGGACGCTTGAGCTCCCTCCTGCTGGACTGGACGGTGGGCTTCCCGCTAGGCTGGAGGAAGGCTTCTGACCGGGCTGGAGGCAGGCTCCCGGGTAGGCTGGAAGGCAGGCTCCCGGGTAGGCTGGAAGGCAGGCTCCCCGTTGGGCTGGAGGCAGGCTCCCGGGTAGGCTGGAAGGCAGGCTCCCGGGTAGGCTGGAAGGCAGGCTCCCCGTTGGGCTGGAGGCAAGCTCCCACCTGGGCTGGACCGCAGGCTCCCAGCTGGGCTGGACCGCAGGCTCCCAGCTGGGCTGGTGGTCGGCGGGCTCCTGGCTAGGCTGGAAGGCAGGCTCCCCACTGGGCTGGAAGGCAGGCTCCCACCTGGGCTGGACCGCAGGCTCCCAGCTGGGCTGGACCGCAGGCTCCCAGCTGGGCTGGTGGTCGGCGGGCTCCTGGCTAGGCTGGAAGGCAGGCTCCCCACTGGGCTGGAAGGCAGACTCCCCACTGGGCTGGAAGGCAGACTCCCCACTGGGCTGGAAGGCAGGCTCCCGGGTAGGTTGGAAGGCAGGCTCCCGGGTAGGCTGGAAGGCAGGCTGCTGACTGGGCTGGTAGGCAGGCTCCCTGCTGGGCTGGACGGCAGGCCGCCCTGGGCTTTCACTCTTTGATGGGCCTAACGGTCGGGTCGGAATGAGCTCTGGATCACTGGGCTTGGGCCTGCTGGTCCAAGTCCGGGGCCTGGGCCGATTAGGCTCTGGACCTAGTCCCATAACCCCATCACTACGGGTTAAGTATTTTCCAAATGTATATACTTATATGTATTTCAAGACTTGGGGAAAGGGATATAAGTATATGTATCACCCTATGTTTGGGTCTTACACTTGAAACATTAGTTATGCTTCATTTAGCTTGCTACTCGCTCGGTACTTGTACTGACCCCTTCGGGGAGCCCCACCATTTCAGGTTGAAGCTAGGGCTTGCTACCTGCACCTTCTACGGGTGATATCAACTCTAGGAAGACGTGGTTCGTGCTTCCTTATTTTCTTTCCAACTATCAAACAATTGCTCATGGATATTTAATTTGTTATAAACTATTTTAGGGCTTGCATGCCCGTCTTGGCCGGTTGTGGCGTATGATTTACCGTTGAATATTTCCACTATTCATTGGTTTAGATGTGATGTTGATATGTATGTTTACTACTGAGTATGGATGGATTATTTTCTCTAACTCCTTGTATGATTAAGTGAAGTTGACTTGAGAGTGACGTCGCTTGATCATACGGCGGTTGTACACGCGCTTAGATACGGTCTGGGGCGTGACAGTTTGTTTGGGAATTGAGTCTTTTTTATGTCATTGAGTATGTTTGGATCTATGAGAACAGGGATGGATGCGTCAAGCCCGCTACATGGTTAGTGATTCGTGTTGCTCTTTCAGGGGTGACCGTCTCCCAGTCTGATAATAGAGTTTACCGTCGTAGTTGTTGGGTTTTAGTTGGTGTCAGTTTTGTTTTTTTATTGATGTAATGATCCTAAAACTTATGATATGAAAGAAGACTAGTTGGCGATAAAAAAAATCATTAAGTATAATGTTTTGTTTAGTCTTTTTATTCTTAATTCTAGAAAATTATTGTTTAATACTAGATTTATTATGATTTGCAAGATATTAACATTTAATATTTATGCTTTAATTAAGTAAAACACTTGTACATGCACTTAAATCTATTGCTTTAATACTAAAATCTTGATATTTTGAATCATAATTTACATTTTTCTTGTTGTTGCATGACAGTGATATCTTGTTGATATATTATATGTTATGTATATTGGTTATCATGTAATTTATATATTGAACAAATATGTGTTAATATAAACTATACTTTAAACAAAATAGCAGAATATCTTTGCATAAAAAAGTAGAATAAGTTATTTACTAATAAAATTTTAACTTGTGAATACATTGTATATAATTCACAAATAAACTCATGCGTTTAATTAATTTAGAAAATGTTTGAATTGGTATACACATACTCTCTAATTCATTGTTCGGAAGTGCATTTGTTTCTTCTCTCTTTTCTAATTATGTATGTTTTTGTATTGTATTACAATAAATAATAGTTTGATGTAGTTTATTTTTTGTTTTTGTTTTCCAATTATTACTTTTCTAATCAATAAAAATACTTTGGTAAAAATCGAAAAAACAAAAACCGAACCAAAATAAATCGAATCGAACAAACCGTGGTTCCAAATGTTTGAACATAAAACCAAACCGAACAAAACTGAACTTTTTACTTTGGTTCGACATTTGGTTTTTGGTGAAAATCAAACCGTTTGAACTGAACTCACCCCTAAATGGCAAGCTAAGCGAGTGCACCCGGAAGAAAGAGATAAATAGGTACTTAATAGGAAGATTTTTTTTAGAAAAGTCTCTTAAATTAAAATATTAGAATCCAACAAAGTAACATCAAGATCAGACACCAGAAACAAACAATGATTACCAAACATCGTAGCTTGATCATACGTCCTAAGACCAGCTTCAGAATCAATCACCCATTCAGGAGCAATATGATTCATTAATCTCCACTTGGGCAACTTTAAGTCAATCATGATCGACGATGCATTCTTGTCACTTATCCTATGATCAGAGCCGGCCATGGGGGGTAGGAACCTAGGCAGTGGCCTAGGGCACCACTCCCAAGGGGGCACCGTTTTTTAATGGAAGAGCTGTTATTATTATATGTATAAATATATTAATATAGTAATACTCGTAAGTTACGCCTTTAGGCTTTAGCGGCGGGATAACCTGGACTAGTGGAGTAGTTAGGAATTGGAATAGTCAAATGTCAAAGTCTACAAAAAAATCAAATCAAATAATAATATATTAATATATTGACAAGTACATCAATAATGGGTTATGGAAGGTCTGCTGCCTGGCCGGATGGCCCAATAGAAATTAGGAAATTAGGAATAGTACTCTATAACTCTATTAGTCATTTAGTCTATTACCCTAGTAACCTACTTAGCTATTAAGTAAATTAAAATTTTAAAAGTCCGAACGATACCATACGAAGGCGGAAGTGCGGAACTCCCGGAATCTCGACGGACGTCGTGACGGTAGCTGACTAACCAGTCTGCAAACCAGGTAAATAACTTATTCTACATCAAATTTATTAATTATTATTTATGAGTTGTATTAAACTTGAAATTTTGTGTTATATTATATATATATATATATATATATATATATATATATATATATATATATATATATATATATTTCTTTAAATTGTTTTAAAGTTATTCGGTTATCAAATTTAGTCTGAAATTGTTTTGAGACGGTCTTTCCATAATATACCTAATAATTAGTGCTTAATTATTATTTTGTAGTGTCTACTATGACGGGAAAAAGGAAACAAGAGTCAGGGGCTTTAAAGAGAAAAATTAAGAAAAGAAAAGATGAAGTAGTGCAATATTTTGCGGGTTCCATGGATAGGTATGTAAAAATAAATCCTTCTCCATCGACCTCAAACAAAAATCTCGAAGCAAATGATAAAGATGAGAATGAAAATACTGGTGTTCAACTTGAGAACAAAAATGAAAACAAGGATGAGGGTAGATGTGTTTTAGATGATGAAGAGATGGATGTTGATGTTGAGAATGATATTGTAGATGTGTTAGCCTGTTATTCTTGATATGACCGAGTTATGTGACTCCCACACACAACAAACGTAAAGACCAAAAGACAATCGACACGACTAATAATCACAAGGTAAAAACAAAAACCAAACAACTTAAAACCAATGTTGCCATTTTCAATCTCAGGTGATGAATGTTTCTCCATACTATTTTCCCACGTGAAGAAATTGCAATTTTCATCCTAATGCACACAAAGAACAGGATCAATTTTCTATAAACAATCACTACAGAAACAAAGAATTTAAACCGTAGTTCGTCCTCCTGTATAATTTCATTTCTAAAAATCGCAAATTAACAGTTACTGGTCATAGGGAGCACCCACGGAACTTCCTCCTAGCATTCTTTCCATGTTTAACAACTCTCAAAACAGATTTCAAGTTGTGGTGGCAATTGATTGTTGAATCTACAGCTCTGCTACTTGTTACCGAAGAGGACCCATAACCATCGGACTTCATTTTTTCTACATCCACCACAGATCGTAATATAATTTCAGAAGCCAATAAGTTATAATACAGGAGGGAGAAGATGACAAGAGCGGAAGATAGAGGAAGATCGAGGAAGATAGCAAGAGCGGGCAGGGAAGAAGTCAGAAATACGGGAGGGAGAAGATGACTTCCATGGAGGGGAGGGACATCCTTTAGGTAAGGAATCAACTTAAAAACCCCTCTTATTAAGATTACCGATAATTATAAACAATAAACGTACTACACCCGGTTACTCTCAAGTTGGGATCGATCAAGGAATATGGTAGGTAAAGGTGGGATTTTTAATGGATTTTGGATAAGATGGACCGTTAATTGAAGACCGGGTAAAAGTTAGATTATTCTTTTCCATTTTCCCTTTTTTAATTTATGATATAATGGTAGTGTTATTTTGTAAGAATGAAAAGATTTGACATTTTGTTGTGATATTATTGAATTTATTATTTAAAAGCATTCATGGATACAAACTGATGCTAACAATGGGACAATGAACATATGGAAAACCTTTGCAGATATATCATGAATGTTTGTTGTTCATAGGCGCAGGTCTTGTAGTCGAATAATCTAACACTAGCTCAAAAATTGCTGCTACCTTTACTGATGCCCCTATAATGTTTCATCAAACTCCTGAAAAATATAGACATATTCAATCTTTTCCTTGAGCTAATCTGACCCTAAATTTGACCTTACTCAATCTGGAGTTGATGATACAAATGATTTGGTTAAGGAAGTGGACCCCAGAACCACTCTATCTGATGGGGAACCACCAAAAAAACCAAAAATAAGTTGTCCCCTAGCCCCTCTGTCCACTCAAAACCGAACAATGACCAACATAGGGAGCCCTATGCTCTCAGGCCCAAAAAATCTGCCCTTCCCTATGGTCTTAATGATTACTTGCCTTTTCTGGAATGTGTGTGGGATTGGAAATACTCAATCTTCTGATCATTTAAACCTTTTGTGTAAAAATAATAATGTCAATTTCCTTGCTCTTATTGAACCTAAAATAAATGCTAGCAAATTAAACAATAAAATGATGAGTTTTGGTTTTACTAATGCTATCTCCCACTCTTTCAACAAAATTTGGATTATGTGGAACAATTCGCTTATTGTAACTGTGATCTCTGATCTAAGCCAATGTGTTAACCTCTCTGTTATGACTCTCCTAGTGATGGGTATGGCATGTGGAAATTCTCTTATAAGCTTAAGCATTTGAAATCTCTGCTTCGCGAATGGAATCAAAAAACTTTTGGCAATATTTTTAATAAACTTTCTGAAGCTAAATCTGAAATTACTATTCTGGAAGATGAACTTTCTGATTCCCTCTCTGATGAAGACCACCTTGCCCTAAAAGAAGATACATCCAATACTCTGCCTATATAAACACTTTTTATAGACAGAAGGTTAAAACAAAGTGGCTAAAGGATGAGATGCAAATGCAAAGTTTTTTCATCTCTCCTTAAAAGCCAAACATCAAAAGATGCAAATTTCTAGAATAAAGAATGATGATGGCAACTGGTATGACAATATTGATGATATTAGTGATGCGGCTGTCATCTTTTTTCATAACCTGCTCACTGCTAATGCTTCTGATAATGCTTTGCTCCTAGGTCCCATGACCAACAAAGAGCTTAAAGAGTGTGTTTTCAGCCTGAACAAATCCAGCGCACCAGGTAGTGATGGTGATGGGTTTTTCTATCAGGTTGCCTATGATATTATTGAGCAGGATTTGCTCTTATACCCAAAATATGTGGTGTCCCTATACCCAAAATTATAGGACACACTCTTATTGCTCTTATTCCCAAAGAGGCTAATGTGTATCAATTCTCTAAATTTAGACCAATTAGCCTAAGCAACTTTCTAAATAATTTTTTTTTACCAAAATCCTTGCTATCTGTATTACTACTTTACTCCCCAAAATCATTTGACCTGAGCAAACTGCTTTTCAAAAGGGAAAAGAGAACTAGGATAGTATTTTGATGCTTAGAGAAATGGTCAATCACATTAATAAAAAGATCCGGGGCTACAACACCATTTTCAAATTTGATATGATGAAAGCTTTTGACATAATCTCTCGGTCCTTCACAAAACATGTCCTTATTAAATTTTGTTTTCACTATCAATTTGTCAATCTTATTCTTAACAACCTCCTGGCTACCTGGTTTTCCATCCTTATCAATGGAGCCCCTATCCCCCATTTTGTTCTTTACCGTTGCTGAGATTCTCACCAGAAATCTCAATAAGCACTACTCCTCTGGGAAGGGCACACCCTACTACACCAGTAAAAATATGCCTTGTGTGGGCCTGTCAATGGGTCTGCTCTAGACCCGGACCCGATCCGAGTCCGACACTATATTTGAGGGTATGAGTCTAAATTTATAACCGTTTCCTGGATCCGGATCCGAACCCGTTACATGAGAGAGGAAAATGGGTCGAATATGGATGTTTAAGCTCTGACCCGTTTTGGACTTGACCCGTGGCGATATAATTGTAGTTATAATTTTATTTATACAGACACACAATATACATAACAATATTCAAACATAAACTAAGGAAACAATCAAATATAAAAATGTCTTAAAAATTGTAGGCTTAGTTAGCAGTTGGACCACCATAATGGGGTTTTCCCCAATGAGTTTTTTGTTTTAGGTCCTCTTGATATCAAGCCCTTTCTTGTTTCAGAATTTTGTTTCTAATAAGTTTGAGGATGCATAGAATAATGGAAAAAACAACATTTTGCATATTTACATATGATCTCTTCCAATGTGAACAAAAATTTTGTTGTGTACTATATTTGTTTTCATATGTCAATTAGTTTTATTTGCGGGTATACCCGGCCCGGATCCGAGACCCGAGGGACCCAAATCTGGAACATATATTTAGGACCCATTGGGTAAATGGGTCTGGATCTGGACAAAAAATTACTCAGGGGATATGGATATGGAATTTAAAGTTTCGACCCGTATCTGACCTGTTGACCGGTCTAGCCTTGTGTTAGCCATCTTACTTTTGCTGATGATTTGATTGTTTTTACTAATGCTAGCAAAAATACTCTTATATATCTGCAAAAGCTATTAGTGATTATGAGCTTTTCTGTGGTCAACTCATTAACAAGGATATAATAGCTTCTACCTTATTTCTAAACATGCTAAATTTCACAATTGTAATGTTAACATTAACAAGGGTTCCCTACCTTTTACATATTTTTTAGGTGTTAACATACAAACTGGTCGAATGCTTAATATGCACTTTGATCCTATATTGGCTAAGTTTGACAATAAGCTTGCAGGGTGGGGGCATAGACTTCTCTCGACCGGCCGGGGGGACAGAATGATCTTAATTAACCATGTTATTACTCTCTGCTTTTGTACAATATGGCTGTAAGGGGCTTTGGGCTGCCTGGGTAAACTCTCTGTCTGGTAATGCTTCTTCTATTATGCAAAATTTGTTGGACTCTATCCTTGATATCTTTGATTCTAACTGCTGCACCCAGGTTAATAATGGACGCAATTCTTGGTGTGATTTAGGCCCTCTCTACCACTTTCAGAATGATATCCCTAGCGTTATCCTTCATGCTACTGTTTCTGAGGCTATTACTAATGGGAAACTCATCCATTTTTGTCTGCCCAGATACATTATGATATGATTCATGATATGGATATTCAATTCAATGAAGCCACAAATAACCTAAATATGGAAGCCCTACTCCACTGGCAATTTCAGTTTTAATGCTGCCTATGATGTGATTAGGCCTAAAATAAATTCTAATTCCAATGCCAAGTTTTTATGGAATAATCACACCCCCAAAATATATCTTTTTTCTTGTGGAGGCTTAATAACATCTTGCCCTTTGAAGAGAAACTCACTAACTTTGGGATCCATGGCCCTTTCAAATGTAATAACTTTAGAACATGTTTTTCTTAACTGCCTTTTTGTGAGGAAAAATTGGGACCACTTTGAAATCTTTTTTGACTCATGTCCTAACATAAATGGGACCTTTAGTAATTATGTTACTAAATGGTACCTTGATTTTGAGAATTCAATAAAAGATTTAACCATGTCCTCCAAAACACCATAACTCGGCACTTATGGAAAACCTGTAACAAAGTCCAGTATGATAACAAAATGGCCAACTTCCGTGAGTCTATAAAGGCTATTAAAACTGTTTTTTTTACCCAAAAACCAGTCCAGCCCTATCAACCTGGACTATACCTCCTGCCAGCTACTGCAAAATCAATTTTGCTGCACGCAATATTACGCCAAACGTTGTTCGTATGGCTACTATTGTTCGGAAAGGATGACACCCCATCCCTGAGGCCCCCCAACTCCGACCGGATAGTACGTTGGGAGGATGTAAATTAGACTATAATCCCTATCTGACAGATAGAGAATGGGGTTCTTCCCCGGTACTTGCAGAGGCCCTATCCATTTTCAGCATAATAACCATTCATCGCAGTTGTCGGGATTCGAAACCGGGACCTAACCCGACATTTCCTTGCTACCAGTTGACCTACGCCCACTGGCGGCTATTATTGTTCGGAAGATAAATAGGTCATGCCTAGTCACAATCACACCACTTGCTTTATATGAAGCTATTGAGTACTTCCTTTTTTGAACAAAATTAAGGATGTGTATGAAGGGCTGGCTCTCACTCCAGCACTAGCATTATTGGCCGTGAATCCATATCATCAAAGCTAAGCTCAAAACATACAACTACACCATTTCTCACGTGGATCCAAAGATCAATAGGGCGGCAGAGTTCTTATCCTATACAAGCATGTCTATCAAAACCACCACTCATCATTTAAACCACGCATACTTAAGTTTGATGCTATTAGTTTCCCTTACATTTCTAGTTGTTTTTTTATGTGGGTAGGCCTTTGTCTAGTCCTCCTACTATCTACCTTTATTTTGTTTAAATAAAATTGATGGTGTGTTCCTTGTTCTCAAAACCCTAGGGTTTTGGACGCTCACCGGGTATTAAAAAAACAATCCACTGTGATTTCTTCACATGAGCCTTGATCCTTTAATGGTACATGGTCTATATTCTATTTATTTATTTTCTGGTAAACTAGTACACATACTTTGGTAGTTTGGTTTGTTTTAAATTTAATGGTTTGGTTAAATTCAACTCAAACCAAATTGTTTATAATTTGGCAAATTGAACTTTAAATCAAACCAAACCAATTTATGTCTAAATCGACTGAAACCAAATTGAAATACATTAGGTTTCTATTTGGTTCATTTTCTATCACATTGAATAAAGTGAAATTGATCGATTAAACTTAATCGTGTTGGTCCCGGTTGTATTAGAAAAAGTCTAGGGGGTGAATAGACTGTTTTGGTTCTTGAAAATTCTTTCTGAGACAACACTTAAGTGTCACAGAGTTGGTCAAGTTCTTCAACAGAACTGACCTGCAGCGGATAGGTATTCTGATCGGGTAGCCTTACAGAGGTGCTAAAGCAAACGTGCCTTTCTGTTTTTCTCTTTGAGCGAGATTCGCTGAACACGAAGTCCAAGTCTTTGAGAGAAAATCAGTTAAATCCTAAGAGCAAGTAAGAAGAGCAGTAAGTAAATGACACCAGAGATTTTTATAGGGGTTTAAGGAACAACTCGTTCCTCTAATTCACTCTTCCACTAAGCTTGTAAAAGATTAAAATATAACACTTAGTACTAACACTCAAGAACACTCCACGTCTTCTTCAAGTCCAGTTGTCACCTGGGATGCTTTCCCTAACTTCCTAATGACTGGCCTCTTTCACTGAGCTTTGCTTGAAGTATCACCACTTCACTCCAGTTACTATAAGGCGTTCTTCTTAAATAAGAAGATTTTGTTTGAGAGATTAAAAAATATTTCTCCAACATCCTTCGTGAAAGATATGTAGGTGAGGCTTTCAAAGTTTTGTTGAAGTACCGGAGGGAACTTCCTTTCTAGTTGGTATGTAAGATTTGAATGTTTTTTTTATCCAACGTCAAGCTTGATCTCTCGTGATGAAAGAGATTGTAGTGGCTTGTTTTCAAAAGAATATTTCCCAGACCTTCCCATTCTTCGAGGTGTATCATATATACAGAAAGGTGTCTTCCCGTTGGACTGTAGATGACATCTTCATTAAATGCATGCACTGTTGATGTGACCGATTGGCTCTCGCAAAGTAGCTGACTTTCTATCTTGGGATGTATTATTTAATATTCTCTTGGATTCATTGATCAATCACGTGTTATAAATATCTCTGTGTGTGGAAGCCATTAAATGAGCATTTAATGCGTTGAACAGTAGCACTTCCGTAGAGAAGCTCCTAGCTGTTAGGGAATTTCCCGTTAGTTTAACGACTTTTGATAGAATCTTCTAAGTGTCAGCAATTCTGGGAGCAGTTGTGTAAAGAGCAGTTGTTAATTAGATCCTGGTAAGCCTCAACAACGAGCACACGGGCTACAAGATTGGTCTGCTCCAACGAGACACCATCTTGCGGGGGCGTATTAAGTTTTCCCACACTAGCTGTGTATAGAAATACAAATCAGCATATAAAGCCTTGAGCTACTCCTCCTAATAGGTTGATCTTTTAATATGGAACCTCAAGTCTTAATTTGGTATCAAAGCAAATTAAGCTCCAATGAGTAATTAGATTCTGGTAAGCCTCAACAACGAGCACACGGACTACAAGATTGGTCTACTCCAACGAGCCACTATCTTGCGAGGACGTATTAAGTTGTCCACACTGGTTGCGTTTAGAAATACAAACCAACGTATAAAGCTTTGGGTTACTCCTCCTAAAAGGTTGACCTTTTAGGATGGAACCCCAAATCTTAATACCTCCAACATCAATGCGCTGACACTCCCCATTCCCCACCACAATTCTCACACATGAGGGGAACTTGAAGGCTCAGACCTCTAGAGCTGACATTGCCACTCAACCTTTCCAGAGCTATTGCACACACAGCCTTGCACAAAATCACAATACACTAACCCACTCAGTGATGTCTACTCTACTTCATTATCAGTGAATTCCTTAAGAACAAGCAAGTAACATTATACATATATCAAAGTTCAAAATAATCTGAAAAGCATGTCTTATATACAAAATGTTGTTATGTTGATGGAGATGTTTGAGTGTGTAGAATATGAGCACACAATATAATATTGTTTTGATGAATGATATAAATTTTCCTATGCTATTTATACCTTGGGCTGAAAAGGTTTAGTGGTTTTGGTTGTGATTTACATAAAAAAAAAATTAAGAATAACATTGCTAACAAATTTGAAGATGACATACGGAACTATGCATTTGAAACAATCACGTGTGTTTATCTCCTCTTCAGTTTCATGTTAGTATCTGTTACATTTTATGCTTAAGTATTCTTTGATATGATACTTCTGGGGTTTCTATTAAACACCATATTGGTTCTCTTTAATCCGTTATTTCATGATTGAGTATTTTTCAATGTTATTGGTTATTTGTTTTGCAATTCGAGACTCTCATGCTATTATTATACTCCGCTTTAAAAACCATAACTTGTACAACTTTCGTTTTATGATTATTTGATCAGAAGTTACAAAGATTGGTGATAAGAAGTAATCTATAGCAAAGCAATTCAGACTATATAATTATGCATGTAATGACAAATACTGAAGTTGGCCTTCATGTTTTTATATTACTTTTTAAGAGCATTGTTCATTGTGAGAGTACTCTATAACCATAAATTTGTTGGGTTTCTGAATGGTTTTATTAACATGAAAAAACAGTAAATGTTCACCATTTTGTTTGTATTGTTTTTCTTAGGATTTAGCTCGCTGATATGGCACGAAGGGCCCGGTTGAGTAATCAGAACATACCTATTGCCAAATTTGTGCATGAGTTTCTGCCTGAAAATGGTTTCCACTTTGAAGCCTCGAAATCAAATGGTGAAAAATACTTCACCTTTGTTCAAGAGTTTTTGAAACCGGAAAATCTTGTTTCGAATGTTTTAGTTGATTCTAAACGCCTGAAACTATTATTTCGTGAGGAAGTAGATAGTTTGGTGTAGGGGGGAGCGTCGGGCAGGTTCGGGTCGGGCGGGTTGGGAAATCAAAGACCCTATCGGGTTTCGGACCTATTATATGGATACCCGACCCTAGTTAATTTTTTCAAAAAAAATCGGATATTGTTCAGTTCGGATATGATCGGGTTCGGTTCGGATATCGGGTTGTATCGGATATTTCAAAACCTATAGATTTTACTTAAAACCAGTGAAATGTGAAAATTAGAAACTTTTTTTTGAATTGAAGTAGAAACAAATTACAATGTACTTGACATTTAAATAACTTAATAAGTAATGTAACAATCAATGTTAGCAATTACAAAATTTCAGTACAAAACCAGAATGTTAGCATACTAACATCTAAACATACAAGTACCAAATGTTCTTGACAATAATATAGATTACATCATCCAAAAACAAGTATCACGGCAAAACAATATTACATATTAAAGTGTTAATAATCCCAGATAGAGAGATTTTTACATTTATACACTGACACACCGCAACTTGAGGTTCCACAAGTCCACAGCTCCACACATTTACATTTCCATCTGAATACAGCAAAGACAAGTATCAAATTCTACAAATGAACACATTTACACAAGTAGTTCATATAATTAAATATTTACATGGACAAAAATATGAGACAAACCAGACAGATAAACAATAC